CCTCCAGGGAATATATGAATCACACACAAAACCCCCAAATTTTACATTTCCTTGTATTCTCATAAAACAATTTAAATTGTCTTTGAGTCAATATATGCATGCTATTATCACAGCATGTCTTTCAATCATTTCAAACCTCAATTTAGAGAAACAAAACAACTTGTATGTAAATGGTAGCACTCGGGGATGCTGTTAAAGCAACATGAGTACGTAACTGCTTTTTTTAGGCTTTACTTACCAATCCTGAAATGCAATCATTCTTTTTTTTAAAGTAATGCTGCCATCAAAGTTAGTTTTCATGCTGAACATACTTTATACAATGTTGTCAAATACTTTACACAAAAATTGTAAAATATTTATTTAAAAGGAATTTTTTCCTACTATTTCAAGTAAGAATATTTTAGGCAGACCCAGAAAACGCTGAACACAACCATTTTTATCCTTCTTCCCCCTCACCTTTTTTGTCTACATTCTTGCCCAGTATAGCTTCAATAAAATATCATCTATCAGTAGGTAAATATTCTCTCAAGATGGCAGAATCAGTACAAAGATGTGAACTCACTAAAGAGCAGTTGATGGAAACAATTTAAAAGATGATTAAGTTAAGTTATGGGACTGATTGTACTTAAACACTTAAGAAAATTTTAGATGGCATACAGCTCTTGAAGTTTACAAAAAAATGTAACAGCCATTCTTATACCATTATTAATCAAAACACCACACTTTTTTAAACATCAACATACAGCTCTTGGTTTTGAAGTTTACAAAAAAATGTAACAGCCGTTCTTATACCATTATTAATCAAAACACCACACTTAAGTTGTCCTCAAATAAATACACACTCCAAAAAGAAGGAGAACTATAGAACAAAGACTTTCTTCTTGAGTAATAAGCTTTTAATACTATACTATATATTACCCCCATGTTCTGGGGTAGTGTTTTTTAGATGCTCTATATTATTCAATGCAGTTTACACTGCTCTGTATATATTTTAGCCTTCTTGGAACCACAGCTATATTTTCTACAGTAAGTGCAGAAAAAATGCTTTCACTCTAATAAATAGCATTGCCTCAAAATTTCTCAGCGTTTAGGTTTTTTTGCCTTTAATATGGAACTTGAGAAAGAAAAGAGGAAAAAGTAGCTAAAATCTTAGAGGACTTAACAAATGTTGCAGTGCATCTTCACATGCATTTTATTTTAATAGTAGATCTCACTAGACTGTACCATGATTTACCGCTTTCAACAATTGTCCCAAGGTACAAAATAAATCCATGAGAGATTCCCCAGAATTGTGGAAGTATTTTGAAGTCCTGAAAGTCTGGGCAGAAAAAAGGCTTAGTAACTCTGAAAGAGATAGAAGCCATCACTCACATACCTGAACAAGCCTATACAGAAATCAATATTCCTGGGAAAAAAAATAAAGTATAGACTTAGAGCTGAACATCACATCTCCTGTTAACTTGGTCTCCACCACCAGGATAGCAAATATTCTGGCTAATCCACTGCAGTCAGAGCTAGTTAGGCTCACTTTTGTCTCACTCTGCTGATTTAAGGTACCTGCTAAGTTTTAGTAAAGCACTTTGTCTGATCACCCCCATCATCTCTCCTACTTAGCTTTATTGACTAAAAGACACAGTTGTTGGACCTAATCTCCTGCATATTCCGTGAGTAAACATTTTAGTTTGTCATTTTACAAACACTATTGCACCATTCAATGGATTAACCTTCTAACTATAGGGACAAAACAAAAACATGAAAGAGACAGAAAAGTAATACAGAAATGGGACACGTGTGAAGAATAGGTATAGAGTCCCAAATCATGAATATTCATGACAGGGAATAAACAGCAAGAACAACAAAGATGGGCAAAGAGCTTTGAGAACAATAAAATAAAACAAAACAAAAAAAAAACACTTTTCAGACAGTATAGATTTATCTTCTGAACAACACTGATCAAAGTCTTGTCTCCGCAGTCTCATGTCAAGTCTAAAAACTCCATTCCTTTTACTTAAGCGTACCTCAATTAAACTACATGTACTTAGCATGAATCCTTCAAATAATGAAAAAAGCTACAGAAGCCTTTCAATGAGGAATCATTCTCCTTAACAACTTGTGCTCAATACCAAGTTGTTTACCATCACAACTTTCAGCCATAAAAAACAGGAAGACACATTAGGAAAAGTATCATGATAAAAGGGTTGGATCAATGCTTCCAGCATTCATTTAATGTGAAATGAGTAAGCTAAGAGAACAACAAATCATAAACTGAAAAACAAAGGAAAGGAAATTAGAAAAAAGGAGTATGGCTATAGATTTCAGGACAGATACGTGTTGATGAATGGTGAACCACAGAAAGGGTAAAGAACAAAGGAAATCAAGCAATGGACAACTCGGAGAAGTGCCAGTCATCAGGAACAAGCTTGAACAAGCAGTCATACTGCAAAGGTAAGGCGCAGAGTCAGAGAGAAGGAAAAAAGTTGTGGAACAAGCTGAAACTGCCACTAAATGACAGAAAAGGGTATGCTTGCTATGAAAATGATTCTATGAGACTAAATAATATGAAAGAATGTGATACATCATGAGAAACCAGACAACAAGGGGGCATGGGGACTGCAGGCATGAGTACGTGTTAATAACAAACCAAAACATTTTAAAATATTAAACAACGCTTTGAATTATTAAAATAAAAACAAAAGAGTTTATTCTTGTGATAAAGTAGTAACTATTCCCACATTCTAGAAAGCTCACAGACAAGACTGGAAAATCAGAACAATCTAGGCTGGAAGGAAATGCTAGAGGTCGTCTTGCCCAGCCCACTGCTCACGACAGGGCCAACTTTGATAGTAGTTTAGGATCTTCACTGTCCTCTACACTCTAGTTTTGGAGATTTCTAAAGATGGAGATGCCACATTCTCTCTGTCCAGTGTTATGATCACCCTCATGATTGGAAAAAGGGATTATTTTTTTTTTTATTTTAGGAAAATTTTTCCATTGCTGCAGCATGTTCACTGACTTTCACCCTTATGCTGGGCACCTCTGGAAAGAGCCTGGCTCCATTGTCACTGCACCTTCTGATTTCGGGATCCAGGAAAGCAATAGGAATTACCCCAGTATTCTTCTCTTTTTACAAACTGAACAGATGCAGCACTTTGATCCTGTCCTCATCCACCACATGCTCCAGCCTGCCAATCATCTTGGTAATTCTGCTGGACTGACACCAGCATGGCGGTATTTCTATTGTATGGGGAGCTCAAAACTGGCCTTGGTTCTAAAGACATCATCTCTCAAATGCCAAATCAAGGGCAATAATTACTTTCCTCAACTTGCTGGCTACAGTCTTGATACCACAGACAAATCAAGGAAAATCAACTCATTTCTACCGATGAGATGACATTAGTGCACAGCAGAATTTCCCAAAGCACTCTATTTATGGAGCACTGACTAAAGAATTACGTTAATCGCTTCAGTCATGTGTATCTAGTTTACATGGCTGCTTCCTCTTATGCTTAGCAATGAAAGTGAAATTCAGTAATAATTCAAAGATAGAACTTTATCACGCTAACAGTAAAAAGATGTATTCACGCTACTACCATTAATTTGCTCAGGCAATGGATGGAGTGCATATCTATGCAAATAACTGTATTCTGAGTTCTTAAGTGTATGTAGGCACTCGTAAGAAATTTCCTCATTAAAAAAATTAAGAAATTATCCAAATCCAGTTTTTTAAATATATAATTACATCATTACTTACACAATACAAATTAGACTATAAATCAAAATGTTCTTAAATAAATTAATTCCTATATAGAGTCCTTTCTCATGTGCAGCTTTACAACTACTTTTTCTATTCATTCCTAACAATTTGGAATACTTCTGTGAGGGTTAGATAAAATGCTGCTGAAGAAACCAGTATGTTAGCTTCCAAGAATGAATTTTATTACACTATAAGCACAATCTTTGGGCAAGTTCGTTTCCCGTGGAAAAAAGACTTTATAATTTGTGGCACATTATCAGCAATTTAGGTCAAATTGTTTGACTAGCCACTGCAGTAAACCTATCAATAAAAAAACAAACAAACAAAAAAAAAACCTGAGCAAATAAATATACACTGATTCACTTAGCCTAACAGAACAACGGGCTCTAAAAGACAGGATTTATTTTTTAAAGCAATATTAAAAGTAAAAATGTTTACCATAAAGGACAACACTGGATTAGGACTGAGTGGAGATTAAGTTGGTTTGGTAGTTAGAGGACTTTTAACCTTTCAATGGATAGCAATTAAAAAAAAAAAAAAATCTGTTATTTTGGCATAAAGAGGAGGAAAAAAACCAATTTACTTTATTCCAGGATACACTGCAAGCAGTCCACAAAATTAGTATCATACAATCAGATGAAGTAGTAGATGGCTTGGGCTTGACCAGTTTAACCTTATATGCTTCTCTGGTATTTTAGCCTTTTTTTCCTCCCTCCTGATCATTTTAGCTTACAGTGTTTTCAAATAACGTATAACCTTGGGAACAGCCGATCCATGAGCTGAAGTTTCTATTAAAAAACAAAGCTTCTCAGAACTATTTTAATTCCTCACATTTTTAAAAATGTGGTCAAAATGGGAATTTGAAAAACCTAGGATGAATGCGGATTTTTAAATTACAGTAGTAAGTATACACTAATTATTAGGTTTCGGGATATAATTATTACTTGAAACCCAGTATATGTAAATTATGCAGTATGAGTTCTAGTCAATGCAGAAAGGTACAGGATTGATTTACGGGTCAGTAACAGTAAAGCATTTAAACACTGAATGGCAGAGATTTTCATTTCAATACTTCATTACCAACAAATATGAGAAAATTGACAGTACTGCACTGTTAAACTGAGGTTATTCTGGCTTAAACGATTTTTTAAACTATTTGATTTATATAAAACCATATTTGAAAGTTCAATGGAGAATTTTTTCAGAAAAAAAAAAATAAAAAGGGGAGATTTAGGAAGATACATACCATGTTTTCTACTCGGAGCTCAAAAGGCATAGGGTTGTACACCATCAACTGAACTTCACATACATCTCCCTGGACCCACTGGAAATCTACG